TGGGGGTAGAGCGATCGTCGGCCCTGTCTTTACAGGCTGGCCTTGGTTTGGGTGACAAATGTCGAAGCCTTGTGACCTGTGTTAGCTCCATTAACAGCTGTACCCACTACGGTAAACATGACCAGGAGCAAGTGACTCCTGACCTCCTACTGTTTGCCTTATCCGTTGCCATGGGCAACCATGTGTGATGCATGACAGGGTACAGCCATCCGCTCTGGCGACCCATGTCATTCCCGGGTGGAATGGTTTTTGGAAAAAGAGTTTGGAATCAGCTTTGCTTTGTTTTGCTATATATAGTTGTTGTTTTGTTTTTCTGTATATATTTGTGTCCTGGACTACAGGAGTCCTGAAGTGATGCTCTAAGATAAGCACTGGACTGCTAACCACAAGGTCAATGGTTTAAACCCACCAGGCGGTCCTCAGAAACCCTGTACAGGGTCGCTATGAATCGGAACCGACTGGACGACACTTTACAACAATATATTTGAACCACCACTCTACAGTTCAAATCACCTTTCAGTCTAGTGCTTATCTATAGTGCATCAGACTATAGGCATCTACAGACATCTGCACGCACTTATAGACACTCACACTTATCTGTGTGTACAGGGAGACTGGGCGGGAGGAGATGTGGCGTTACAGTGGGTAAAGGGTTGGATTGCTAACTGAAAATTCAGCAGCTGAGCCCATCAACTGCTCCGTGGAAGAAAAGCGGGCAGTCTGCTTCCATACAGATGGAGCCTCAGGAACCCTACGGGGGGATTCGGCCATCCTAAAGGGTCAATATGAGTCACCTTGCCAGCCATGAATATATATTTATACAAAGGGGTAAATAATAAGTGGAGGGGCTTCTAGAAGTTCATGGAAAAATGGATTTGAAAGATAATGAAATTTTTCCATGAACATGCACAACCGTGTCATTTTGAAACGGTGGCGTCCTTTACGCGATGACTGGATTGCCCGTCGTTTCCGAGACAGGTGTCTAGTACTGAAGAGTAGCGTGTGTGTCCACACTGTCGAGTGGTGTCTCTGTGGCTGTGCCGTCCCTCCCCTCTATGGTACAATGAGCAGATGTGCTGGAGGCAGCAGGATTAGCTGCTCCCCGTTGGACTAGGTGTGAGGAATGCAGCTTCACCCTGGAGAATCTAAGGGCGGTGTCAGAACCTAACAAGGGTGGTCCCACCTGTGGAGCCATGAAAGAAGAGGCTTGTCTGGGGCTCACTAGGGGTGGCAGCCCCCCCCCCCCAAGGGAAAGAGGGTAGTGAGCGCACTAATCCAGGGAGGAAAGAGTGAGGACGGGCGGTTAGGTTGGGCGCGGGGAGGGTTGTGGGGGGGAAGACTGTGGGGTCTCCCATAGGTTAGACAGCAAGAGCCAAGTGTGTGAGCTGCTGGCAGAGGAGGCAACAGGAACAAGGCAAGAGGAGATACCAGTTTGATGGGAAACCCATGGGAGACAGCTTGAACTTGAGGAGCATACGGTTGGTCCCAGGGGAGACCTCCACAGGGGTCATCAGTTCATGTAGAGTTAAAGAGGTGGGCTCCCCAGGGCTGGAGCCATAGGCAACTCAGGGACAGGAGAGGCGGGGAGGACCAAAGAGAAGATGTAGCCGCAGAGAACCCAGATGGACCAAGGGACACCAGTAGGTGTCCACCAGGTTCCTGAGCAAGGTCCCCTCCCCTGCTGCCCAGCACCACCTCCATCTTCTGCTCCCCAAATGTGTTCTCTGCCGTCTGCCCCACAGTGTGCCTTGGACTCCCAACCGCCGCTACTCTCAGCCCACACCCCCTCCTCCCTCTGCCCCCCCAATGTTCTTTGGTCCCACTCTGCCTCCACCCTCAGCCACTCAATGTATCATCAGCCTCCAACATGCCTTGGGCCCACTCCCCCTCTGCCCTCTGTCCCCCAGTGTGCCCTTAGACCCACACCCTTCTCCCTCAGTCCCCTTGTCCCTGCTCCCTGCAACATGCCCCAATGCCTGCACCCCCTCCGCCCTCAATGTGTTCTCAGTCCCACACCGTGTCTGCTCCCCAACAGGCCCTCAGCCCCACAGCCCCCCGGCCCTCTCCCTGGACCCCTAAGCTCTGCGACCCCACTGTGTGGGTTGCAGGGAAGGAACGCAGAATTGGTCTTTGTCCATCCGCTTTCCCTGCCCCAAGACCCCTGCCACCCCAGGGGTTTCAGAGCGGAGTCTCTGGCCCTGAGGCCCCCACGGCCCCCAGCTCATGGGCTGCACTTCCAGCTCCACGGCCACACAGTGGCCTCAGCACAGCCTGGAGAAACAGAACACAGGTGGGGGGCCGAGGTGCAGGTGGGGACCCAGAAGGACTGTACTGATTGCAGACAAGAACGACATGGGGCTCTCTGTGCAAGGACTCCCTGTTACTTTGTCCCCAAATTCCAGAAAGGCAGATCACTTCAGTTCCTCAAAGAGACCTTCCTCCTAGCATGTGTGTGTGTGTGTGTGTGTGTGTGTGTGTATCTACACTACCACTTCTACAGTTGGTTTAACAGCCTGAAAGCCCCTAACTTCAGAGATTTCTCTGGATAAAGATGCCTCGAAGGTCCTTTTATTGGGATGGAAGCCCAAGGCAACCGTCCCTCATCAGGTGGTTTAGCCGCTATTAGCTGTTGACCAAGGTCCCCAAGGAAGGCTGTGAGAGCAGCTGCCGCCACAGTGCTGGCTTCACCCTGCTCCGGGAGTGTGTGTCTGCCCACTGCCTGGTTTTCTCCCTCTCATCACCTGATGGGATACGATGTGCTTTCATGGTCCCCCACTAGAGTACAAGTGCATGAGGACCGGGACCAGCATTGGTCACCTCTGTAGTCCAGATAGCTAAAACAGTGTTTACACTCATCAAGTGCTCAGTAAATCACTGCTGATCAATGGGTGGGTGGGTGCATGGATAGGCATGTGGACTAGTGGGCAGCTGGCTGATAGTGGATAGATGGATGGATATAGAGGTGGTGGGTGGGTAGTGGGGAGATAGATGAGTAGATGGGTGGATGCATAGATGGATGGATGGATGGATGGTGAATGGATGGATGGATGGATGGATGGATGGTGAATGGATGGATGGATGGATGGATGGATGGATGGTGAATGGATGGTGAATGGATGGATGGATGGATGGATGGATGGATGGATGGATGGATGGTGAATGGATGGATGGATGGATGGATGGATGGATGGATGGATGGATGGATAGGTGGGTGAATAAAGGGATGAGTGAATGAAACAGTGGGTGAGTACATGGGTGAGTGGAAGGATAGATGAGGGGTGGGTGAGCAGGAGGGTGATGATGGATCGATAGAAGGGTAGATGAGTAGGTGGGTGGGGGGCTATGTAGTTGGCTGGCTGGCTACCTGCGTGGGTTCATGGGTGGATGGCAGTATTACAGAAAATTGTGAGCAAATCCACATTTTCCCAGATAAGTCTGAAGAGCAAAGAGGTGTTCATTGAACCCTAAATTGCTATAACCTCAGAGTAAAGTGGGCATATTGCCGTTCTGAGAGAAAGGCGGCATTTGGTGGAAGCTAGAAAGGGGGTAGTGGGAAGAACAGGTAACAGCCCCTCCCCCCATTTCTTTGTTTGCTGCTCACAGGGCACAAGCCAAGTTCAAACGTCCTGAACAAGTGATTCTCCAGGACAAAGGCATCTTGTGGCATTGAAAGACTTCTTAATGCCCCTTTAAGGCACGAATTTCAAAACAATGTGGGACATTTCAATTTTCACCAAAAACTCTAAAAACACCTTTTGTCAAATAAGTGCTCCCCACACATGTAACCCAAGTCCTGGTGTGGTGCCGAGGGTTAAAGCGCTGGACTGTAAGGTCGGCTTGAACCTCAAGGTCGGTGGTTAGCTGCACCTCAGAAATTTATACCGGGTTGCTATGAATTGGAACCGACTCAACAGCACTTAACAACAACAACAACACATTTAATCAGAGTCCGGGTGTGGCGCTGCAGAATAAGCACTGTTGGTGGCACTGTGGTTAGCAGTCCAGTGCTTATCCTACAGCCATTTCCTGGAAACCCTATGTGGGGCTGTCATGACTCAGAACCAACTTGACAGCACTTAACAACAACAACGACAACAAGCACCTTTAGCTTGTGCACCACAGACTTTTTGGTAATAAATGTGCTGACTCGGTGCCTGCCCTCCCAGACTCCCAAGGGCAGCAAGTCTCGCTTTCATGGGTAGCTGTATGTGCTGAAGCCATTTCATCTGGAACCCAGTGCTGCTGGTCCAGGTGACAATCTCGAGGCTTTAAATAAGCTCTGGTTCAAACCCACCAGCTGCTCCTCAGAAACCCTACCAAGGTCGCTGTGAGTCCTAATCGACTCTATGGCACGCACCTAACAACAACAACACTGTGGCACTGAGGGTTATAGGTGGGACTGCTAACCACAGTTCAGCCCCAGCAGCTATTCCACAGGAGAAAGATGAGGCGTTCTGCTCCTGAAAAGATTCACAGTCTCAGAAACCCTGTGCAGGGATGCTCTGAGTGGGAACCGGTTCGGTGGCAGTGAGTTTTTTAAGAGACCATGGAAACAGGCCGCTGATTTGGTTTTAGGATTTTCTATGGGAAAGCAGGACTCCAGCCAGGGTGCCCATCTCAGGTTAGTATCTACTGGAGGCAGGGTAGGCAGTGAGGTTGCTGGGCCCTGGGGTAAGGAGAACGCAGCATTGTTCCGGGCTGCCCGCACAGGGCAGTATTCATGACTTCCCTTGTTGTTTGCAGGAGAGGCAGATGTGAAACTGTACAATGGGACCCCCTCTCAGAACACAGCGGTGACAGACCCCAGTCGCACAGCGGACCCAAAGAATGCCTGGCCAGCAGCCAGCCCAGCTGACCCAGCCAGCCGCCCCCACTTGGTCCGCCTCTTTTCCCGAGATGCTCCGGGCAGAGAGGACAACACCTTCAAAGACAGGTCCTCGGAGTCTGAAGAGCTGAGGACCATCCAAGAGGATAGCAGTAGCGGCGAGGGCGTGGATGCCATGGCTTCACAGAAGCGACCCTCCCAGAGGCACGGATCAAAGTACCTGGCCACAGCAAGTACCATGGACCATGCCAGACATGGCTTCCTCCCGAGACACAGGGACACGGGCTTCTTCGACTCGCTGGGGCGGTTCTTTGCCGGTGACAGGGCTGTGCCTAAGAGGGGCTCCGGCAAGGTGAGCGCTCAGGAGTAGGGGTGGCAGCCCGTTAGGAAACCGCAGTAGGTGGGATGTAGTTCCGTGCCTTCCCCTGGGCTGCAGATGTCCTTGTTGGACAGGGTGTCCTGGTTCCCCGGGAGTGGACCTGGCTCTTCTCACAGTGTTTCCACCTGACTCATAGCCTCACTGGTCCCAACAAGGGACTGCGGTCAGAAGGTCTTGATGGCTGTGGACCAGGCAGGTCCAGTGCCACCTCCCTGGGCCCCCTGCACCCTGGCCCCCCCGTATCTGCTGCCCACCCTGTTTGCTGCCATTGTGCTGCATGCTGCTTTTTTGAAATCGCACCGTGGAGTCGGACGGGGACTTTTGAACAAACTTGGAGTCTGAGCGTCTGTGTTGTCTGAGCTGTGTGGTGGGAGGGGTGTGGAATCCAGGACCCCGTCCAGAATCTAAATGTTATCGTTTTATTCTAATGCTCATTTGAATACAGACCCTGCGCTTATGTTATTTAAAGGTACAACGCCTGTAGATTAAAATGTCTGGCAAGAAAGCACGCGCCTACTGTATTTCAGTCTCCAGACGTGCCTGTCTGCACTGGATGGATAATCTCGTGGCTGATGCTCCACTGGGGGCTCATCAGCCTGGCCCAGAACAGACTGGCACATGCTTCTCGGGGGCTGGGAGACAGGCTAATTCTGAAGAGAGGGTTTTTCCCAATGCTCCCCAGCTTATGCTGTGCTCTCCCCACACGCATCCCAAGCAGTTTCTCTCCGGCTGTGGACTGTTTTATTCTGAAAGGTCTTTGGGAACGGGAGAGGCTTTTCAATCGAGTGTGTGCTTTCGTCATAGCAACAAGCAAGCCCAGGGGCATTTTTGGAGTTGTGTCTAGCGTTTCTAAAATGAGCTTTAAATTGTTCTTTAAATCATTGCAATTCTTGTAAACTGCTGGCAGCCATAACCTGGCTGAAGATGAGCGTGCCCGGTGTCTGGTTAGTCCATCAGAGACAGGTGATGGCACTAGGCACCTTTGCCACATCTGCCCCAGGTAGACACCAGGCAGACACCGTCACTCCTGGCGTGTCTGCAAACGTGGGATGTCTGCATTTGTAGGCGTTTTTGTCTTACTTTCCTGCAGTTACCCCACACACACAAACCCCGGAATCTTGCTTACCTGGCTAATTTCAGCTACAGGTCCCCAGCAGGTGTCAGGGAGGCTTGCCACACCCAGCTTTGAAACCTTCCTGTAGTCTGTGTGATTCAGGGATGGGGGAAGGTGTATTTATCTACAACATTCTGGAGAGCCCCAGTGTGCTGACAGTTTCAGGTGAATGAAATTGGGACAGCCTGACCATCAATCCGGTTGTGGCTGACCTCAAAACGGAAAGTAGCCACCCCATATCTGTGCCCAGCGTGTTCACAGAATGGACCTTCTCTGAACAGAGCCACTCAGCGCCCTCCCCTCTCCAAGAATCACACAGCTCACTAGGTGCCATGTGTCAAAGCCGCCCACGGGTCCCCGGAATGCGCTAGTTACAATCCCGCTGTGTGTGGCTCAGGCTTGACATTCACAGAAAGTGCAATCGAAATTCCTCGTGGAGGCATATTCCTTTCAGGACCCTGAGAGAAAATGCACACAGAGAGAAAACCCGCTTTGTTGTGAGAGAAAAGAAAGGGGCCGTGTTGTTTGCCCCTGGGGCAGGTTGGCCAGCCCCTGGAATGTATGTCGGGGCAGGCAGTGGGGGCGGTGGGGACAAGGCGTCTCTCTCGAGGTGCCACCCTTCACGGTCCCGAGTCGTCAGACACGCAGGCCCCTGTGCAGTTCCTGTGTAGGCAGCCTCAGTACCAAGCACTTTGTTAACTGCTCTTTCCTTTGGGTCTACAAGAGCTGGGGTTCTCTGACAGCCAGGCAAGCTCCCCAGTGACAGGCAAGGCTAGTCTGACGTAAGGAGGCAAGGGGAGCATGCTCTTTTTCTCCAATTGTTATCAGAGGTTTCCGTCCTGAAAAGCTGACTTCTAGAAGGAGGAGATGGTCTGAGGTGTCTTTCTCTGGTTGTTTCTTACTGAGATCTGCCCACGTGTAACCTGCTGTTCCCACCCTCCAAGCACCAGCTTCCACTCTGATCTAACTCCTCTGCCCATTGGGGGGATGTTTGGGGTCAGAGCAGTCAGTGTCTGTCCTTTCATGCTATGGGGCATAGTCTTGTAACTTAAGCAGAATGTTCTGTACCCTGGTTTGATTTGGTTTTTTATTGCATTCTAATTTCATTAAACATGCTAGTCCTACAGTAATCTAATTTTTCATGGTTCATTTGATATCCTAATTTTCTGAATGTGTTCTGTAATCCTATGGGGAAGTGTAAGATGACAAGCAAGGCACAGGAGGGCAGGCTGGCAGGGCACTCGGATGTGTGGGTCTGTCCCCAAATCCGGGAGGATGGGGCCACTGGTGAGCCCTTCACACCACACAGTGGCAGATGAGACGCACACACTCATTCCAGCCCAGGAGATGGAGAGAGAGAGAGCAGCAGTACTTGAGCACGCACTGAGCTCCTTTGAGATCTGTTTGCATGGGGCCACATTGACAACAGCAACTCAGAAGGCTGTCCAGGAAGCTTACGGGGGGCAGTACGTTTATGCTAAGGTGGGAGAACGTGCTAATTCCCTCCATGAGTAAGAGTCCCCGTTACCAGAATGCCAGAAGAATTGGTAGGACTCAGCTACCATGACTGAACATATTGATCAAAGAATCTGTGGAAGAGTCTAGATCAAAGTGGAGGAATGCAAAACAGAATTGAAATGCAGACTTTCTAGAACCATGGAGGCTGGATGAACCCCTAAAGTTATTGCCCTGAGATCATCTGTAAAACTTAAATTAATAATATATCCAGAAGTCTTTGTGATATCAAACCATCTTTTAGCTTAAATAATAAAGCATGTCTGGCTTCAGCATTGTGCTCATTTAAGATCGCAGCAAATTGAAAGATTGGATTGGAACCTTTAGGAGCCATCATTTCATGTTCATGGGGAGAAAAGACTCAGAAAAGGAAGAGGAGAATGGCTGTACAAGTTGAAGAACGATGTTCTGCTGTGCGGTCTCAGAAGCCAATCAAAAATACAATGATTTTTACTGAAGGAAAGAGTACAGCGGCATATACAGGTCCACCGTGAGTCTCAGCATGAATCTATGTGGCCGTGAGCCTCCTCCCTCCCTCGCCCCCCACACATACACACACTTAGTGCCTTGGTTTACCAGGAGATTTGCTCAGAGATCCATAAAGGAAATACAAACATGGCGGGCGTATTTTTCCCACCCAAACAATGAACGTTGAAGAATTCTTACTGCAGTCCCTCTAAGGGTCATGACCCTGATCAATTGTTGATTACCCATTGGAGCTGTCCTGAGCTGGCCAGCTTCTACTGTGTCCTTCAGCTTTCTCAGTCGTTGACCATGGTCCACGTTCTTCAAAGAGCTGCTAGTCCAGTGAGGGTTTGAGTTCTTGTTGGGCAACGGTTTTATTTGTAAATTACGTGTGTATATACAGTGTCATCTGCTCCTGGTATTTCAGTTGGCTTTTTGTCTTGAACTATTCCCTTACATATGTGTATATATATGTTTCTACCCTTCATGATTTATTAAACTATCTCACAGACCAGGCCCGGTGTGCTGACTGTGGGCGAACTTTTCTAAGTTCTGTGTTTTGACATCACCACACAAATGTGTTGTGTGGTTGGTAATTTCATGACTTTGTAAACTTGAAGGTCTGGGAACACCTTGCACACAGGAAGGTCCCTGTGTCTCATGTGTCTTCCTTTATGCACAAAGACAGGTGACTTGTGGATGGACAGACTCTTCTTGGTCTTGTCCTGCTGGGGGGCTTTGGGTGTTTGGTCACAAATCACTTCCCTGTAGACAGGGGAAATGCGGGCACTCACTACGAGGGAGTTTCAAAACAGTCATGGGAAAATGGAGCGACTTCTGAAATCTTTCTTGTGTAATCTCTTTCTTGATTGGCATGTCTGGGATACAGTTGGCTCAACAAATACTTGTTGAATTAACGAGCAGACGAGAGTGACTCCTTTCTCTGTCCTTCCTAAGAATATCAGAGTCACACTAGAGGGGCTGGAGTTAGCCCTAGACTGGTTCTCCTTAAGAATGCATTGAGTTTACAGATTCAGAGTCCTGGGATTCTTTGGAAATTAAAAATTAGACATGAAAGCAAAGACCATTGGACTGATTTCGATGTCGTCCACCACCCATTGGTACACATCCTTTGTCCCAAAGTAGCTGCATTTCAGACCATTTTCACTGGAAGTGTTTACTGCCCCCATCATCTGCTCTCCTCAGTGGAATTCGCTGTTTGCTAACAGACACTTCTGGTTGGTGGGTGAAGATCTCAACCTGGTTGGTGGGTGAAGAGCTGAACTTGGCATCATGGGAGATCATTGTCAGAAAATCAAAGTCATCAACACATCTCACTTGGACGTTCTTCCAGAACTGTCGACGGTTTTTATCAAACCTGGATTTAATACCCTGCCTTAGAATCCTGCTTCTTTGTGTCTATCACCATGTTCTTAATTAAATGCTCTCAGATCCTCAAAGTCATACAAGATATAAGAAGGAATAAATACGCTTTTCTGACGGAGCCCCATGAATGAAGACTTACCACACACGATTCTTAGGAGGCTGCTTGTGAATTTTGTCTCCCACCTTCGCTCACCGAGTTACAGAATTGCTTCTTTTCTGGATCTTACATGGAAACAATTTTGCTTTTCTGATCAGACATGCGCACCTCCTCTGTGGTCTGTCACAGATGATGAACCAAAATGTGTCCCTCTCTTTCTGCCACTGTTTAGGGTGGGGGACAGGCTGTGCCCCAATGGGTCCCCTGTATGTTAGAGTAACCGGCTGCACCCCACCTCCAACCATTTTTCCAAGAACGTTGGACAGCGGAATAGGAGGCTGAACAGAAACCTGAACATGTCATGGAATCCAGACTTTCTGGATTCAGGGAGGCTGTATGAACCTGAGATGATCTTTAGACCTTAAACCAAAAATATCTCATGAAGTTTTCTTAAAACCCAACAGTGGTGTTGTTGTTAAGGGTTGTCGATCTCGACTCTGACTCATAGTAACCTTGTGTAGCATTTCTGAAGGGTACATGGTGGGTTTGAACTGCTGACCTTGTGGTTCACAGTCCAGTGCTGATCCTACAGTGCCACACCAGGAGTCGACAATGGTTTAGCTTAAGTGTTAAATGACTGTTTCTTTAAAAATGTCTGCTTTGAGCTTTGTGTTTTGTAAGAACTTCCCATGTGGGATCAAATCGCCAGTTTGAAAGTTCATAGGAGCTTTGGGGGCAATGAGTTCGTGGGCGGGGAGCAGGAGGAGGAGGGTGGCTGCACATTTGGAACAAGGTCCCCCGTGCCACTGAGTGGCAGATGTTGGCGCTGTTGCATCGGTGCGTGTTTTGCTGTGTATATTCTCAACAACTATAAAAAATAAAATAATTTTTTTTTAAAAAGGAAGGGGCATTGTATTAAATAAGGGAAAATAGGAAACTTTTCTTTACCTTTCCAGCCTGTTTATGACATTGGAGGGTGTCACTGTTTGGGGGGACAACCACGCCTACAGATACTGACACACACTTGAAAATACTCAGGACTCTTAGTGTCCTAGGGACTCAGTACTGTGATTCAGTTCTCTGCATTTACCGTGTGTCTCTGCCAACACACAGAACCCTCTCTTGCTGATGGCAGATTTGCCTTGGCACATTCACACGGCAGGACTGTTGATAGAGTGCACTAATCTATCAGCACCCTTGGGCAGGACCCGCTGCTGATCTGTACAAAGGCCCCGCTCACCAACAGCCCACACGGGCACCTCTGGAAACCCTCAGAGGGATTCCCACTCCCGACCACTCCCCTAAGGCTTCTGTCTCCTCTCTTAGAGCCATTTTGCTCAAATACAGTCAGGCCTTGGCAACATTGTGAGTTTGGTTCCCAGCACGAGTAGAAGTGATGCTCCGCCTGCCCTATGGCTGATCAAGTGTGCGTGAGAGAGCCCGACATGGGGCAGAGACACTGAGCACAGCAGCTGGAAACTGGGCTCCTCACAGAGCTCCCTGGACTTCCTCTGCAGGAGAAACACCAGGATGCCTGCTCCTGTGAAGATTGGGTCTCGGAAGCCCTAGGGAGCAGTCCTGCTCTGTCCCGCGGGCTCACTGTAGTCTTGCTCAGGGTCGGAACCGGCTTGCCAGCACAGGTTTGAGACTGTTTTCTCAGCCTGGTGCCTGCAGGTTGATGGCTCGGTGAGGAATAGGGAGAGAGTGCTAACGTGGGAGCAGAGACTCTGGGGGGCTTCACAGCAGCGTCCCTGACACCAGGCCGTGGCGCCTGCCCTAGCCATCACCGACAAGGAGGAACAGCTCCGGAACTGGTTGGAGTGCTCCATTGCTATTAATTTTTCCCTAAATTCTGCGGAAACGTGTAAGCCAGTGATGACACCACCCACGGTGCCGGCCCACAGAACCCCCACGCCACAGGGGACTTGACCACTTGTAAATCCAACTGAGAAGCGAAGGCATTTGCTGTACAACATACAAAGTGCAAACGTATCCATTTCATTTTAGACTCCAGAGGCCATTTCAGTGCCCCTCCCACCACGTGGAAAGTGCCTCCTGTTCTTAGACATCCTCCGTGACTGGCTGGTGACATTTTACGAAATGCGGTCACCCTACTTTGGTGCCAGCGTGTGGCCCCCACGCCACATCCGGGTCTGCTTGTGTCAGGTCCACCCTAGGGCCTCGCTGTCCCCACCGTCCACCTGTCTCTCTGCCCAGGCCTGGGCCCCACTCACCGGCCGCTCTGTGTCCCCAGCAGGTACCCTGGCTAAAGCAGGGCAGGAGTTCTGTGCCCACTTCTCCCCAGAGCCCACCGGGGCTGTGCAGCTTGTACAAGGTAAGGCGCCTGTGGGCTCTCTGTCCTGGTGCTCAGATGGTAGACATCTACCGAGGGGGGGCAGTACTGTGGGGCACGCATGTGTCCAGAGTGGAGGGACCTCCGTCAGGAGTGTCAGAGCTTCGGCACACCAGGTGAGGCTCGTCCTAGAGAGGACATTCAGAGCAAACCACCATAGAGGGACGGAGACAACCCGCTGTGAGTCACCGGGATGGGACGTGGGGGTGGGCTGAGACCAGGTGATTCCCATCGGGGTGACGGAGGTGCGTCCCTTCTACGACCTTTGCCGATGGCAGACCTCGTGGGTTGGTTTTCCAGACAAGTTCAGCCCAAGACCTCGGTCTTCCCATGTTGGCGTCTTTGTTGGAGACCTGTGCCCAGCAGACATGTACCATCCACTGGTGCTCAGCCAGTGTCCCTGGTGGTGAAAGATGGTAAATGAGCCCGTGCTCACCAAAAGTTAGGGGTTCATAGAAGGGCCTGGTGAGCCACTTCCAAAGAAACTTCAACCACTCAACCCTCGATGGAGCTCCACTCTGACACGCGTCAGGATTGTTGGGAAGTGGCTTCTTCTTAAAACCCAATAAAACTTAAACCCACTGCCATCGGGCCGTTTCCAGTTCACAGCAACCCTGCAGAGCAGAGTAGAGCTGGCCCAGAGGGTTTCTGAGATGGTCTTCAGGGAAGCAGACTGCCCCAGCTTCTGGTGAGTCTGAACACCGATGTCTAACCCACTGCACCACCAGGCTCCTTGGTTAAGTGTTGTTGTTCAGTGCCAACTCATAGGGTTTCCCAGCAGCAGCTTGTGGGTTTGAACCACCAACCTTGTGGTTAGCAGTCCAGTGCTGATCCTACAGAGCCACACCAGGACTCCTGGTTAAGTATTAGTGAAGTATCAGTTGAGTTAAACTCACAAAACAAGGAGAGCTTTTGGACCAGCTCCAAACCCTTAGCCCTCTTGCCTGATGCCCACCGTGGACTGAAGACTGGATTCCTGACCCTCCTCTGAGAGCAGGTGAGTACCCGGTTGGGGGGGGGCCGTCGAGGAAAGCCCGAGCCTCATGCACCAGCTCTGGGAGACCAGCCAGCCCCCTCGGCACCTGGAAAAAAGGCTGTGCGCTCGGGGTGAAGGTCACAAGGTACTGCACATCCAACACTGAACTGGACACTGGTGTGGGAGAGGCCACGTCCACCAGCCCAGTGGGCTCTCCCAGCGTCTCGCACTGGTGGGAGATGCAGACAGGAAGGAGCTCGGTACCTGAGGATGAGGAGTCAGCAGATGAGGCCGGGACGGCATGCTTATTCAGGGGGTTCAAGTGTCTCCTGATTCCACAGCAAACACACCTAACAGCCACTGGTTCGTGAGACCTCCCTGGGGTCCGGGTGTCCTGAAGGGTACAGGCCACATCTGAGTGTTCTGCAGGGAGCAGGGGGCGCTTCTCAGTGGGAGCACGAAGCAGCCCCCGTCACCTCACCCCACACAACACAGTGCTTGAGAGTGGGCCACTCCTGGAAGTGGAGACCCCCAAGCCCCAGGCCAGATGGGGCGGGGGAGGCCAGAGGGAGCAGTTCACATAACACGCAGAATCCCACAGTGAGTGCGTGAGTGCAGGCCGTGTTTGTGAACACGTGTGAGTGCAGGGTACATGAGTGTGAACATGTGTGCAGGGTATGTAAATGTGTGTGTTGTGACAACAGTGTGTGAGTGTATGTATGAGGTATGTGTAGTGTGTGTGTATTGTGTGAGGTGTGTGTATGTGTTGTGTTGTGAGGTGTGTGTGAGGTATGTGTGTGTGGTGTGTCTAATGTGTGGTGTGTATAGTGTGTGTGTGTGAGGTGTGTGTATGTGTGTGTGTAGTGTGTATGAGGTGTGTGTATGTGTAGTGTATGTAAGTGTATGTGAGGTGTGTGTAGTGTGTGTGAGGTGTGTGAGTGTACTGTGTGTGTATGTGTGTATGTGTTGTGTGTGTGAGGTATGTTTATGTGTAGTGTGTGTGTGTGTTGTGTGTGAGGTGTGTGTAGTATGTTTGTGTGTTGTATGTGTGCAATGTGTGTGAGGTGTGTGTGTGTGAGGTGTGTAATGTGTGTGTGGTGTGTGTGTGAGGTATGTTTATGTGTAGTATGTGTATGTTGTGTGTGTGAGGTGTACGTATGTGTTGTGTTTGTGTGGTGTGTGTAGTATGAGTGTTGTGTGTGTAGTGTGTGCAGTTTGTGTGTGAGGTGTGTGTATGTGT